GAAAGCTCTGACTTGAACATTGGTGAGGCTGCAGGTAAGAGGGGGCTCACTGCCAGCCGGGATGTTATCCAGATCTATGAGATCAGTGAGGGTCTTGGCACCTAGATTGACTTCAGGAGTCTTCCTGACCCTGAAGGAATCGTCACCAACTGATTCGTCATGCCCAGATCCTCTCATAAGTCTCATATCCAAGATCTTTTTGACTGCCACTCTTCTCTCCTCCTCATCCTTACTGCAGAGCATTGTCTGCAGAACTGCCTCGGGATGAGCATACCAGGAAGATCTCCTCACAGTCTGCTCCACAATCTGAACAACCTTCCTTGGCTGACTCCTCAGGGGCTCAAGCTGGAAGAGAACATGCCTCGGACCTTCGGAGAACGATGACTTGACCTTGGTGTTGAACCAATTTGGCAAGTAGACACTCACGATGAATTGGACAATAAGTCTCAGGTTGTGAAACTGGTTCCCTTTCAGTTTATGATGAGCGACCCAAATTCTGCAGAACCTGAGAGCCGTTGTGAGCCACCTAGAATGTGAGACTGGACCTATCTGCAGGTAAGCAAGTCTATCAGGCATGACCCCAGTTTTGATGGCACTGCAAATCATGTAACCATAGTACTGGTCAGTACTCAGGTCGTCAATGACAGTATGTGCAAGCTCAACGAGTGGAGGGCCAACTGTGATTTTTTCAAAGCTCGGATTTATTTCTAACTCAGTGGCAGAGTCCAGCATCTTGCCAAGAGGACCAGACCATCTGTTGTTTGAAAGAGTCTTGCCATCCAGCTCCTGGATCAGATGTCTGAGTGGCAACTCGTTGGTGTGGAGGTCACAAACAATCCAGACCAGCTTCCTCCCAATCTTCCGCTCTATCCACTGTATGACCCCCCTTGCCACCCTGTGTTCGTGTTGGTGCTGTCCCCTCCAATGGCCTGCAGGGTCTGGTCTACGTTCCTCTCTCTGAGCCAGTTCACAATGTTATCTGCCACTATCTCAGCTGGTTTCCTGATGTCATCTTTCTCTGGAGTGAAATGCCACAAATACTTCCCTCCTGGTTCACTGCAGCAGGAGTAGTGTTCCTCCTTCACCATGGCAGGGAACAACTTGTCAGAATCTCCAACTTTCATGAACACTTTAGTGTCATCCCTTCTCCCATCAAAGAACAAACAATTGATTCCATTTTCTCTTATCCCCTTATCAAACTCCTCTTCTAGGTTACTGACAAGTTTCTCCTGAGCTCTCCTTACTTTGTTATGATCTATCACCAGGTGAACATCATCAGGTGTTATCAAACCACCGTCAATCCAGGCAGCTGTTGCTATCTCTGCAGTTTCTCTGAGACCAGTGTGGTGTCGCATGCTGGCCAGAGCTATGCTCAGGATATCTTTCCTATTTCGAATCTTATGCCTGGAAGGTTTGGGATCATTATTTTCTGGGTTAGGGACAAAGTCACCATTCTCCTGGTCAGCACTCGGATCAGCCATGGGGAAGTCATTAAACTCTGAATCAGCTTGACTCCAATCATCGGCCTTTTTTACCTCACCCTGGGCCTTCTCAAGTCTCTTTTCCTCGGCAACTCTTCTCCTCTTCTGTCTCTCTGTGGCAGCCTCCTGTCTCTTGGACTCCGGAATATCTTGGCTAGAAATCATGAGAGCCCCTATACTGCCAGTCTTCTCTCTCTGTGCTTTGACAAATGCCAGTTCGATCACAGGAATCTTCAGTTCACGCTTGCAAATACAGGAGATGTGGGCCTCGGATTTACAGTCACGATCGCATCCAAACTCAGGACAGAGAACAATTGGGCACTTGCAAGTAATTATGTCAAATAACTGGTCCAGTTGCTTGGCAAAGCTGTCCTTAACTGCAAGTTTTCCTCTCCCAAGAGAGATATCTCTTGCCTTTTCCCAACTAGCAGTCTCTCACTAATCTTCTTCTGACTTGTTATGACTGGAGGCTTGAACTGAGCGTTAGCCAGAGTGTACTGTGCCAAGACAGCTTTGGTCATATCACTGGCAATGTCTTTGTTTATGTAAGTTCTTTGGTTCTTTTCACTGATTTGCCTGATTAAAACACCGTATCTCAAAGCATCTCTCAATGTAGGCAACTCCGACTTCAGGAGCTCTCTCCCAGACCCAAGATAGTGACTGAGATGGCTGGATTTTTGGTTCCTCGTCCTGACACAAGCAGCCATCGCAAATATTATCAACTTATAAATGCATCAGAATCTGAAACAGAAAAAATATTGTTAGTTGGGTTGTTAAAGAATGAAGTCAGAAAGCAATGTTCACTATTTAATTGTAATGCACTAATGCAGCTGTACGTTAGATTTTCGATAAATTTCACGCTAAAATTTACCTAGCAAAAGGTTGCAAAATATTGAAACTGAAATTATTTTCTGTTTATATACACTAAAATCTACCGAAAAAGTGATGGGCCATTAGTTTTAGCTGATCTTCCCTCCTATATATTATATATATATATATATATATATATATATATATATATATATATATATATATATATATATATATATATATATATATATATATATATATATATATATATATATATATATATAAACACAGACACAAATATAGATATATAACTGAATAAAGAAAAAATAATAATTATAATGTTAGATGTGAACACAGGATATGTTTGTCTTTTGCTTCACGAAATTGTGTCCATAGAGCTTTTCCGAGAAGCTTATTGTCCCGGGCGAGATGTATCTTCCAAACAACATGTGGCATTTTTAAATTAATCTTTGGAAAGGGATTATTCGGTCAATGTTAAGGGATTTGGATTGGGAATATCCAGTTATACTTTAAGGACTTGGAATGGCAATATTCGGTGGTTATTTATGAATTTTGAATGGCAATATTTTATAATTGTTGAATAATTTGCAATGGCAATGTTTAGTGAATAATTATGAATTTTGAATGGAATATTCGATTATTCTTTAAGGATTTGGAATAAAAACATTCGGAGATTCTTTAGAAACTTGAAATTATAATTTTTGGTCTTTACCTTTGAATAAATATACAGGTTAGACTTATATGGCATCTATAAGATAGTAAGTAATCAAAGAAATACTCAAAATAACATGATATGACAGGGCATTTCAAAGCATTACATGACATGTCTTGACATTATAATGAATTTTATGCATGTCATATCATTTCCTATCAGGACATGATATGTCTTAACGTGAGATGAGATGACATGATATCACAGAACTGAGATGTCATGACTTGATGAAATGATACTGCTTGTCATGTACCTTCATGTCATACCATGTTCTAACATGTCAAGTCATGAGAGGATAGGTAATTTTCATGTCATGTCATGGTACGATAGAAGAGGTCATGGTGGAAAGACAATTGATTTGTGTAAATTTAACGTGTCTTAGTTTACAAATGTTACTCCAAATGACTAGTTCGATTTTGATTATTATTTTACGTAAATTAAGTAAATTAAGAGTCATGTTTCATGATAAAGAAGCCAATATAAAGACAAATATTTTAAACTGAGGAAGGGGGTGTTGATCAATTAGAAGTTAGAAAGGTGTGATATGGCCAATTAGAAGCCGGAGAGGGTAGCAATGACCAATCAGAGGGGGCGGTGGGGTCGGTCATTTAAAGTTTAAATAGTTTAATCGTCGGCTTACGCAAGTGGGAGGTCTAGTTTTTGTGTGTGTGCGTTTTTTAATCTATTTGTGAACAAAATGACTAGGGTTGAACATTTTTTAATCTGTATTAACATGAGTGACTGTAGAGTTTAGTGATGTGTGAAAAACTGACGAATAAACACGAGAAGCGAGGATTTACAAAGACTAAATCACAGAAGCGTAACTGTCAACTTGGGGAATTTAAACTCCATAGAAAACGAGAGCATCACACTTATCCATGGCGGGGGTGAGTTATCAATTAACCTATTTTGAATCAAACAATACACATGACATGACACGAGATGACATGATATGACATGACATGATATGACATGTTTTGATTGTAAAAAATTATATACCAGACTGTAAAAACACAATGGATCTTTACATCTAACGAGGTAAAAAATGGTTGGTAAATTTACTCGGTGTACAGACCTTTAATAAAACTGTATAAGGATAACGAAGTAAGACCAAAGAGGCTAGTGCCTGAGGGAGCGTCATATTGGAATAATATTTCTCTACATTGTGGGGTGAAACGACCAATTTTCCCTCGCCTCTTTATTTTATCAATGGAGGTAACACACCGCCTGAGGTTGAGAAAGGGGAAACAGCACCCACTAAAGGCGGCCATTAGTGTATTCATCAAGGGTTGTGTCTATATCAGGGGTTGTGTCTATATCAGGGGTTGTGTCTATATCAGGGGTTGTGTCTATATCTGGGGTTGTGTCTATATCAGGGGTGGTGTCTATATCAGGGGTTGTGTTCATATCAGGGGTTGTGTCTATGTCAGGGGTTGTGTTTATATCAAGGGTTGTGTTCATATCAGGGATTGTGTCTATATCAGGGGTTGTGTCTATATCAGGGGTTGTGTCTATTACAGGGGCTCGGTCTATATCAGGGGTGTGTCTATATCAGGGGTTGTGTCTATACCAGGGGTTGTGTATAAACCAGGGGTTGTGTCTATTTCAGGAGTTGTGTTTATATCAGGTTGTGTGTGTAACAGGGGTTGCGTCTATAGGAGGGGTTGTGTCTAAATCCGGGGTTGTGTCTATATCAGGGGTTGTGTCTATAAAAGGGGTTGCGTCTATAACAGGGGTTGAGTCTATATCAGGGGTTGTGTCTATATCAGGGGTTGTGTCTATATCAGGGGTTGGGTCTATATCAGGGGTTGTGTCTATAACAGGGGTTGTGTATATATCAGGGGTTGTGTCTATATCAGGGGTTGTATCTATATCAAGGGCTGTGTCTATATCAGGGGCTGTGTCTATATCAGGGGTTGTGTCTATAACAGTGTTTGTGTCTATAACAGGGGTTGTGTCTATAACAGGTGTTGTGTCTATATCATGGGTTGTGTCTATAATTGGGGTTTTGTCTATGTCAGGGTTTGTGTCTATATCAGGGGTTGTGTGTATAACAGGGGATGTGTCTATATCGGGGGTTTTATCTATATCAAGAGCTGTGTCCATATCAGGGGCTGTGTCTATATCAGGGGTTGTGTCTATAACAGTGGTTGTGTCTATATCAGGGGTTGTGTCTATAACAGTGGTTGTGTCTATTACTTGGGTTGCGTCTATATCAGGGGTTGCGTCTATATCAGGGGTTGTGTCTATATCAGGGAAGGTGTCTATAACATTGATTGTGTCTATATCAGTGGTTGTGTCTATATCAGGGGTTGTCTTTATATCAGGGGTTGTGCCTATAACATGGGTTGTTTCTATAACAGGGGTTGTGTCGATAACAGGGATGGTTTCTATATCAGGGGTTGTGTCTATATCAGGGGTCGTGTCTATATCAGAGGTTGTGTCTATAACAGGCGTTGTGTATATATTAAGGGGTGTGTCTATATCAGGGGTCGTGTCTATATCAGTGGTTGTGTCTACATTAGGGGTTGTGTCTATATCAGAGGTTGTGCCCATAACAGGGATTGTGTCTATATCAGAGGAGTGTCTATATTACGGGTTGTGTCTAAAACAGGGTTGTGTCTATTTGAGAGGCTGTGTCTATAACAGGGGTTGTGTCTATAACAGAGGTTGAGTCTATATCAGGGGTTGTGTCTATATCAGGGTAGTGTCTATATCAGGGGTTGTGTCTATATCAGGGTTGTGTATATATCAGGGGTTGTGACTATATCAGGGGTTGTGTCTATAACAGGGGTTGTGCCTATATCATTGGTTGTATCTATACCAGGGTTGTGTCTATATCAGGAGTTGTCAGGTTGTTTCTATATCAGGGTTGGCTGTCTATCAGGGGTTGTGTGTATATAACGGGGTTGTCTCTATGACTTGGGGGTTTTTGTCTATAGCAGGGGGTTATTGTCTATATCAGGGGTTTGTGTCTATATCAGGGGTTGTGCATAGCAGTGATTGTGTCTATATCGAAGTGGTTGTGTCTATAACAGGGGTTGTGTGTCTATAACAGGGTTGGTCTATGTCAGGGGGTTGTGTCTCTAACAAGGGTTGTATCTATATCAAGGTTGTGTCTATATCAGGGGATGTGTCTATATCAGAGGTTGTGTCTATATCGGGGGTTGTGTCTATATCAGTGGTTGTGTCTATATCCGGGGGTTTATTATTATATCAGGGGATGTGTCTATATCATTGGTTGTGTCTATATCAGGGGTTGTGTCTATATCAGGGGTTGTGCCTGGCAGGGGATTGTGTCTATATCAGGGGTTTTTGTCTATAATAACATGGGTTGTGTCTATATCAGAGGTGATTGTCTATAATAGGGTTGTGTCTAAATCAGGGGATGTGTCTATAGTAGGGGTTGTGTCTATAACCCAGGGTTGTGTGTATTACAGGGGGTTGAGTCTATATCAGGGGCTGTGTCTATATGAGGGTTGTGTCTATATCGGGGGTTGTGTCTATAACAGGGGTTGTGTATACATCCCAGGGGTTGTGCTTGCTATATCAGGGGTTGTGTGTCTAAAACAGGGGTTTGTCTATATATCAGGTGTTGTATCTATATCCAGGGGTTGTGTCTATATCAGGGGTTATGTCTATATCAGGGTTTGTGTCTATAACAGGGATTGTGTCTACATCAGGGGTTGTATATATAACAGGGGTTGTGTCTATAACAGGGGTTGTGTCTATAGCAGGGGTAGTGTCTATATCAGGGGTTGTGTCTATAACAGGAGTTGTGTCTATATCAGTGGTTGTGTCTATATCGGGGGTTGGGTCTATATCATTGGTTGTGTCTACAACAGGGATAGTGTCTATAACATGGGTTGTGTCTATATCATGGGTTGTGTCTATATCGGGGGTTGTGTCTATATCAGGGGTTATGTCTATAACAGGGGTGGTGTCTATAACAGGGGTAGTGTCTATATCAGCGGTTTATTGTCGTTAACAGGGGTTGTGTCTATATGGGGGTTATTATTGTCTAAATCGGGGATGTGTCTATGTGGGGGTTGTGTCTATAACAGTGGTTGTGTGTAGTACAGGGTTGAGTCTATATCAGGGTTGTGTGTCTATATGAGGGGTTGTGTCTATATCAGGGGTTGTGTCTATAACAGGGGTTGTGTATATATCAGGGGTTGTGCTATATCAGGGGTTGTGTCTAAAACAGGGGTTGTGTCTATATCAGGTGTTGTATGTATCTATATCCAGGGGGTTGTGTCTATATTAGGGGTTGTGTCTAAAACAGGAGGTTGGCCTTAAATCTATATCAGCGTTTGTGTCTATATCGGGGGTTGTGTCTATACCAGGGGTGAGTGTCTATATCAGGGTTGTGTGTCTATACCAGGGGTTGTGTCTATAACAGGGGTAGTGTCTATATCAGGGGTTGTGTCTATAACAGGGGTTGTGTCTATAACAGGGGTAGTGTCTATAACAGGGGTTGTGTCTATATCAGGGGTTGTGTCTATAAAAGGGGTTGTGTCTATATCAGGGATTGTGTCTATATCAGGGGTTGTGTCTATAACAGGGGTTGTTTCCATATCAGGGGTTGTGTTTATATCAGGGGTTGTTTACATATCAGGGGTTGTTTCTATATCAGGGGTTGTGTCTAGTTCAAAAGTTGTGTCTATATCAGGGGATGTGTCTATATCAGGGGTTGTGTCTATAACGGTGCTTGTGTCTATATAAGGGGTTGTGTCTATAACAGGGATTGTGTCTATAACAGGGGTTGAGTCTATATCAGGGGTTGTGTCTATATCAGGGGTTGTGTCTATATCAGGGGTTGTGTCTATAACAGGGGTTGTGTATATATCAGGGGTTGTGTCTATATCAGGGGTTGTGTGTATAACAGGGTTGTGCTCATATCAGGGGTTGTATCTATATGAAGGGCTGTGTCTATATCAGGGGCTGTGTCTATATCAGGGCTGTGTCTATAGCAGGGGTGGTGTCTATAACAGGGGTTGTGTCTATATCAGGGGTTGTGTCTATAATTGGGGTTTTGTCTATGTCAGGTGTTGTGTCTATATCTTGGGTTGTGTGTGTCTATATCAGGGGTTGTGTCTATATCAGGGTTGTGTCTATAACAGGGCTGTGTATATATCAGGGTTTGTGTCTATATCAGGGTTGTGTGTATAATAGGGGTTTGTCTATATCGGGGTTTTATCTATATCAAGGGCTGTGTCTATATCAGGGGATGTGTCTATATCAGGGGTTGTGTCTATAACAGTGGTTGTGTCTATATCAGGGGTTGTGTCTATAACAGTGGTTGTGTCTATAACAGGGGTTGTGTCTATAACAGGTGTTGTGCCTATAACATGGGTTGCGTCTATATCAGGGGTTGTGTCTATATCAGGGAAGGTGTCTATAACATTGATTGTGTCTATATCAGTGGTTGTGTTTATATCAGGGGTTGTCTCTATATCAGGGGTTGTGCCTATAACATGGGTTGTGTCTATAACAGGGGTTGTGTCGATAACAGGGATGGTTTCTATATCAGGGGTTGTGCCTGTAACAGAGGTTGTGTCTATATCAGATGTTGTGTCCATATTAGGGGTTGTGTCTATATCAGCGGATGTGTCTATATCAGGGGTTGTGTCTATATCAGCGGTTGTATCTATAACAGAGGATGTCTCTATATCAGGGGTTGTATCTATATCAAGGGTTGTGTCTATAACAGCGGTTGTCTCTATATCAGGGGTGGTGTCTATATCAGGGGTTGGGTCTATAACGGGGGTTGAGTCTATATCAGGGGCTGTGTCTATATCAGGGGTCGTGTCTATATCAGAGGTTGTGTCTATAAGAGGCGTTGTGTATATATTAAGGGGTGTGTCTATATCAGGGGTCGTGTCTATAACAGGGGTTGTGTCTATATGAGGGGTTGTATCTATATCAGGGGTTGTGTCAATATCAGGGGCTGTGTCTATATCAGGGGTTGTGTCTATATCAGTGGTTGTGTCTACATTAGGGGTTGTGTCTATATCAGGGGTTGTGCCCATAACAGGGATTGTGTCTATATCAGAGGTTGTGTCTATATTACGGGTTATGTCTAAATCAAGGGTTGAGTCTATTTGAGGGGTTGTGTCTATAACAGGGGTTGTGTCTATAACAGGGGTTGAGTCTATATCAGGGGTCGTGTCTATATCAGGGGTAGTGTCTATATCAGGGTTTGTGTCTATAACAGGGGTTGTGTATATATCAGGGATTGTGACTATATCAGGGGTAGTGTCTATATCAGGGGTTGTGTCTATATCAGGGGTTGTGTCTATATCTGGGGTAGTGTCTATATCAGGGGTTGTGTCTATAACAGGGGTTGTGTATATATCAGGGTTTGTGTCTATAACAGGGGTTGTGTCTATATCAGAAGTTGTGCCTATATCAGGGGTTGTTTCTATATCAGGGGTTGTGTCTATCAGGGGTTGTGTATATAACAGGGGTTGTCTCTATAACAGGGGTGGTGTCTATATCAGGGGTTGTGTCTATAACAGGGATTGTGTCTATATCAGGATTTGTGCCTATATCACGGGTTGTTTCTATATCAGGGGTTGTGTTTATCATGGGTTGTGTATATAACAGGGATTGTCTCTATAACAGGGGTTTTGTCTATAGCAGGGGTTGTGTCTATATCAGGGGTTGTGTCTACAACAGGGGTTGTGTTTATAACAGGGGATGTGTCTATATCATGGGTTGTGTCTATAACAGGGGTTGTGTCTATAACAGGGGTAGTGTCTATATCAGGTGTTGTGTGTTTAATTGGGCTTGTGTCTATAACAGGGGTTGTGTCTATAACTGATCAGGGTTGTACTATATCAGGGTTGTGTCTATAACAGAGGTTGTATCTATATCGAAGGGTTGTGTCTACATCAGGGGTTGCAGTTCATAACAGGGGTTGTGTCTATAACAGGGGCTGAGTCTATATCAGGGGTTGTGTCTATATCTTTGGGGGTTGTGTCTATATCAGGGGTTGTGTCTATATCAGGGGTTGTGTGTATATTAGGGGTTGTGTCTATATCAGGGGTTGTATCTATATCAGGGGTTGTGTCTATATTAGGGGCTTTGTCTATATCAGGGGTTGTGTCTATAACAGGTGTTGTGTCTAAATCATGGGTTGTGTCTATAATTGGGGTTTTGTCTATGTCAGGGTTTGTGTCTATAACAGGGGTTGAGTCTATATCAGGGGTTGTATCTATATCTGGGGTTGTATCTATATCTGGGGTTGTGTCTATAACAGGGGTTGAGTCTATATCAGGGGTTGTGTTCCCAACAGCTGTGGCCCATCAAGGGTTGTGCTCCATGCCAGCTGTGCCCATATCAGGGTCAGTTCACAACAGGGCTGCCCATATCAGGGGTTGTGGCTCTATAACAGGGTTGTGTCTATAACAGGGGTTGTGTCTATGGGGTAGGGCTAGGTCTATACTAGGGTCAAACCTTATGTTGGTGGGCGTGTCTATATCAGTTGTGTCTATAACAGGGGTTGTGTCTATATCAGGGTTGTGTCTCTAACAGGGCTAGTCTATACTCAAGGGTTGTGTCTATAACAGGCCAGGGTCTATATCAGGGGTTGCCCATATAGGGTTGTGTCTATATCAGGGCGAAGTCAGCAACAGGGGTTGTGTGTCTATATCAGGGGTTGTACCCATAGTAACAGGGGCTGGGTCTATATCAGGGGTTGGGTCTATATTGTGTGGTTGTGCTCCATATCAGGGTTGTGTCTAGTTCAAAAGCGTGTCTATATCAGGGGTTGTCTCTATATCAGGGGTTGTTTCTTTATCAGGGGTAGTGTCTCTATCAGGGGTTGTTTCTATAACAGGGGTTGTGTCTATATCATGGGTTATGTCTATATCAGGGGTTGTGTCTATAACAGGGGCTGAGTCTATATCAGGGGTTGGGTCTATATCAGGGGTTGTGTCTATATCAGGGGTTGTGTCTATAACAGGGGTTGTGTTTATATCAGGGCTTGTGTCTATAACAGGGGTTGTGTCTGTATCCAGGGTTGTGTTTTTAACAGGGGTTGTGTTTATATTAGGGCTTGTGTCTATAACAGGGGTTGTGTCTGTATCCGGGGTTGTGTTTTTAACAGGGGTTGTGTTTATATCAGGGTTGTGTCTATATCAGGGTTGTGGGCTCTATAAATAGGGGGCCAGGCCTGTATCCAGGCCAGGCTCTATAACAGGGTTGCTTTATATCAGGGTTGTGTCTATAACAGGGTTGTGTTTATATCAGGCTTGTGTCTATACACAGGGGTTGTGTCTGTATCCAGGGTTGTGTCTATAACAGGGGTTGTGTTTATATCAGGCTTGTGTTTATGTAACAGGGTTGTGTCTACATCAGGGGTTGTGGCTCCATATCAGGGGTTGTGCTCCGTATCCAGGGTTGTGCCCGCACAGGGGTTGTGTTTATATCAGGGGTTGTGTCTATAACAGGGGTTGTGTTTATATCAGGGCTTGTGTCTATAAACAGGGGTTGTGTCTGTATCCAGGGTTGTACAAGGTCTATAACAGGGTTGTGTTTATATCAGGGCTTCAGGTTTATAACAGGGGTTGTGTCTGTATCCAGGGTTGTGTTTTTAACAGGGGTTGTGTTTATATCAGGGCTTGTGTCTATATCAGGGCTTGTGTCTATAACAGGGGTTGTGTTTATAACAGGGGATGTGTCTATATCATGGGTTGTGTCTATAACAGGGGTTGTGTCTATAACAGGGGTAGTGTCTATATCAGGTGTTGTGTGTTTAATAGGGCTTGTGTCTATAACAGGGGTTGTGTCTATAACGGGGGTTTTGCCTATAACAGGGGCTCTGTCTATATCAGGGGTTGTGTCTATATCAGGGGTTGTGTCTATAACAGAGGTTGTATCTATATCAGCGGTTGTGTCTATATCAGGGGTTGTGTCTATAACAGGGGTTGTGTCTATAACAGGGGTTGAGTCTATATCAGGGGTTGTGTCTATATCTTGGGGTTGGTCTATATCAGGGGTTGTGTCTATATCAGGGGTTGTGTGTATATTAGGGGTTGTGTCTATATCAGGGGTTGTATCTATATCAGGGGTTGTGTCTATATTAGGGGCTTTGTCTATATCAGGGGTTGTGTCTATAACAGGTGTTGTGTCTAAATCATGGGTTGTGTCTATAATTGGGGTTTTGTCTATGTCAGGGTTTGTGTCTATAACAGGGGTTGAGTCTATATCAGGGGTTGTATCTATATCTGGGGTTGTATCTATATCTGGGGTTGTGTCTATAACAGGGGTTGAGTCTATATCAGGGGTTGTGTCTCTAACAGGGGTGTGTCTCTATGGTTGTGTCTATAACAGGGGCTAGGTCTATATCAGGGGTTGTGTCTATAACAGGGGTTGTGTCTATATCAGGGGTTGTGTCTATAACAGGGTTGTGTCTATAACAGGGGTTGTGTCTATAACAGGGCTAGGTCTATATCAGGGTTGTGTCTATAACAGGGGTTGTGTCTATATCAGGGTTGTGTCTATAACAGGGTTGTGTCTATATCAGGGGTTGTGTCTAACAGGGGTTGTGTCTATATCAAGGGTTGTGTCTAACAGGGCTAGGTCTATATCAGGGGTTGTGTCTATAACAGGGGTTGTGTCTATATCAGGGGTTGTGTCTATAACAGGGGTTGTGTCTATAACAGGGGTTGTGTCTATATCAGGGGTTGTGTCTATAACAGGGGTTGTTTCTATATCAGGGATTGTGTCTAGTTCAAAAGTTGTGTCTATATCAGGGGTTGTCTCTATATCAGGGGTTGTTTCTTTATCAGGGGTAGTGTCTCTATCAGGGGTTGTTTCTATAACAGCGGTTGTGTCTATATCATGGGTTATGTCTATATCAGGGGTTGTGTCTATAACAGGGGCTGGGTCTATATCAGGGGTTGGGTCTATATCAGGGGTTGTGTCTATATCAGGGGTTGTGTCTATAACAGGGGTTGTGTTTATATCAGGGCTTGTGTCTATAACAGGGGTTGTGTCTGTATCCAGGGTTGTGTTTTTAACAGGGGTTGTGTTTATATTAGGGCTTGTGTCTATAACAGGGGTTGTGTCTGTATCCAGGGTTGTGTTTTTAACAGGGTGTTTATATCAGGGCTTGTGTCTATAACAGGGGTTGTGTCTGTATCCAGGGTTGTGTCTATAACAGGGGTTGTGTTTATATCAGGGCTTGTGTCTATAACAGGGGTTGTGTCTGTATCCAGGGTTGTGTCTATAACAGGGGTTGTGTTTATATTATGGCTTGTGTCTATAACAGGGGTTGTGTCTGTATCCAGGGTTGTGTCTATATCAGGGATTGTCTCTATATCAGGGGTTGTGTCTATATCAGGGGTTGTGTTTATATATGGGAGGGTGTTACTGGTGGGGTAGAGGAGGGTGGGGTAGAGGTATGTAGATGAGAATGCAAATTGAAAGTGATAGATAGGTAGATAGAGACAGAGATGGAAAGTGCAAATATAGAGAAAAAGAGAGAAGTTATGAGAGAAAGAGCTGTATTGAAAGTGTATATATGAAAAGGAAAGAGAGAAAAAGAGAGAGACAGAGAGAGAGAGAGAGAGAGAACAGAGGAACCTGATATTCATTACGACAGCAATTAAACCTGATATTTTAGAACAGCTAAAATAAATAAGTGTATCTTCTCCTGGGAAAGTAATTTGTAGCCATATTTATTATTATCAATATTAATATTATTATTATTATTATTATTATTATTATTATTATTATTATTATTATTATCATTATTATTATTATTATCATTATTATTATAATTATTATTATTATTATTATTATTATTATTATTATTATTATTATTATTATTATTATTATTATTATTATTATTATTATCTCGTCATTGTTATTTTCATTAGTATCATCATAATAAAGTGTTGTAACGTGTGTGTGTGTGTGTGTGTGTGATAATAATAGTAACAATAATTAACGGTTGATTGAAAACGAATTCTGCAGCCCGAAGGCTGAAAATATACACTGGCCATACATGACTTATTACATACATTGACATTGGTGGTTTAACAAAAGCCTTCATTAGAGAAAGGTAAAGGAGCATACAGTGAACATACAGATTAATGTTTACAGTGGAGATCACGTCGATCTTGTGCGCTGAGGTATTGAACAGCGGACATGTAGTGTAGTAACTCCCTCACAGATGGCGTTATGAGGGGCATCACGTGGAGTAGTAGTTCCCTCACAGGTGGTGTTATGAGGGGCTTGACGTGGTGTAGTAATTCCCTCACAGATGGTGTTATGAGGGGCCTGATGATCTAGTAATTCCCTTACAGATGGTGTATGAGGGGCCTGATGTGGTGTAGTAATTCCCTCATATTTGGTGTTATGAGGGGCCTGAAGCTGTAGTAATAATTCCCTCACAGATGGTGTTCTGAGGGGCATCACATGGTGTAGCAATTCCCTCACATGTGGTGTTATGTGGTACCTCACATGAGGCTGTAGCTACTCTTTCACTACGTGGTGTCGTAGCATCGCAGGACCTCACTCACTCAAGTGATTGAGGTGTGGTCCCAGGCCTCCCTTTCGTGGACGGTTTAACACATAGCTGGTGTTGTGGAGTCTCAGGGGCAATTATCACTGGGTACCTGGGACCTCACTGTGTGAAGGTTAGCTTGGGTAAGACTCAGCTGTTACTGCCGAGTTGTTTTTCACTGACTTAAGCACTGGTAACCACTATTCAACACTGGTTCCATTCCTTTCCTTAATGAAATAGTAACTTCTGGCGAGAACTTGTTGATATTCCGGTGGGGAGGAGGGGTTCAGAGGAGGGAGTTGGTATTGGCCAACATAACAGTTGACCTTGCTGCTCCCAGAGGAGCGACAGGTACGTTTTGACCCTTCTGTGGTCAAGGATGTGTGTGTGTGTGTTTGTGTGTGTGTGTGTGTGTGTCTATGAATAGAGAGTACCTGCAACAGTAATAACACAGATATCATGTCACACCACTAACCCATATAAACCGTTTCTGGTTCATAATATGTGAATACGATATGAAAACTTCAATGTCATACCACCACCATCACCACAATCGTGATGATGATGATGTTGGTGTGGTGTTCTGACCTCACTAGGGGAAAGGTCACGGCAGGGTTAGCTCCCGAGGGATAATTATCAGATATGGCCAGAGCTATGTGTGGAGAGGGCCAAGGAAGAAATAGAAAGGGCCATGTTGGAGAACCTGAAATTAAAAGAAGAAATGGTGAGATTGAACGGGGAGGCGGGACAGGGAAAGCCAGTGTCTGACGAAAATTCAAGCAAGTGGAAGGTTGTAAGGAGAGGGAAGACCAAACTGGTGATGAAGAAACACACCAAGGATACGTCAACAACGACATCAGCAGCTAAGTGTACCAACTCGTTCAGCCCTTTGATAGACGAATTGGACGTTAGTACAGTCAGGGACAGGGCTGACAAGGAAGGTATAAAAACTTTAATTGTTTGTGACTCACACGTAAGGTACTTGGACAGGGCTTTTTGTGGTAAAAACATAAATAGGATGAGAGTGTGTTTGCCAGGAGCTGGGGTGGGGGATATAATTGACAGGATGGGCAATATCTTGTCTGGTAATGGGAACAAACCCATTATCTGCCTCAGTGCAGGAGGCAATGATATTGGCCGGTCTAGGAGCGAGGA